TTAGGTTAAGTCGGTTTCGTGCACACGCGGCCGCGGCGACGACGGAGGGGCCGCGTGCCGGTCGGACCGCGGCGCCGTGCCCGTGAAACTGTGCCGTGCATCGACCGGGGATAATCTCTTCCTAGTCGGCGTCGGACGGGCGCCCCAGCCGTGCGAGTCGTAGGCACCCGGGCCGGGTCGGGTATCTAGCGAAACCACAGCCGAGCGTACGGTTTCGTGCACACGCGGCCGCGGCGACGACGGAGGGGCCGCGTGCCGGTCGGACCGCGGCGCCGTGCCCGTGAAACTGTGCCGTGCATCGACCGGGGATAATCTCTTCCTAGTCGGCGTCGGACGGGCGCCCCAGCCGTGCGAGTCGTAGGCACCCGGGCCGGGTCGGGTATCTAGCGAAACCACAGCCGAGCGTACGGTTTCGTGCACACGCGGCCGCGGCGACGACGGAGGGGCCGCGTGCCGGTCGGACCGCGGCGCCGTGCCCGTGAAACTGTGCCGTGCATCGACCGGGGATAATCTCTTCCTAGTCGGCGTCGGACGGGCGCCCCAGCCGTGCGAGTCGTAGGCACCCGGGCCGGGTCGGGTGTCTAGCGAAACCACAGCCGAGCGTACGGTTTCGTGCACACGCGGCCGCGGCGACGACGGAGGGGCCGCGTGCCGGTCGGACCGCGGCGCCGTGCCCGTGAAACTGTGCCGTGCATCGACCGGGGATAATCTCTTCCTAGTCGGCGTCGGACGGGCGCCCCAGCCGTGCGAGTCGTAGGCACCCGGGCCGGGTCGGGTATCTAGCGAAACCACAGCCGAGCGTACGGTTTCGTGCACACGCGGCCGCGGCGACGACGGAGGGGCCGCGTGCCGGTCGGACCGCGGCGCCGTGCCCGTGAAACTGTGCCGTGCATCGACCGGGGATAATCTCTTCCTAGTCGGCGTCGGACGGGCGCCCCAGCCGTGCGAGTCGTAGCCACTCGGTCCGGGTCGGGTATCCAGCGAAACCACGGCCGAGCGTACGGTTTCGTGCACACGCGGCCGCGGCGACGACGGAGGGGCCGCGTGCCGGTCGGACCGCGGCGCCGTGCCCGTGAAACTGTGCCGTGCATCGACCGGGGATAATCTCTTCCTAGTCGGCGTCGGACGGGCGCCCCAGCCGTGCGAGTCGTAGGCACCCGGGCCGGGTCGGGTATCTAGCGAAACCACAGCCGAGCGTACGGTTTCGTGCACACGCGGCCGCGGCGACGACGGAGGGGCCGCGTGCCGGTCGGACCGCGGCGCCGTGCCCGTGAAACTGTGCCGTGCATCGACCGGGGATAATCTCTTCCTAGTCGGCGTCGGACGGGCGCCCCAGCCGTGCGAGTCGTAGCCACTCGGTCCGGGTCGGGTATCCAGCGAAACCACGGCCGAGCGTACGGTTTCGTGCACACGCGGCCGCGGCGACGACGGAGGGGCCGCGTGCCGGTCGGACCGCGGCGCCGTGCCCGTGAAACTGTGCCGTGCATCGACCGGGGATAATCTCTTCCTAGTCGGCGTCGGACGGGCGCCCCAGCCGTGCGAGTCGTAGGCACCCGGGCCGGGTCGGGTATCTAGCGAAACCACAGCCGAGCGTACGGTTTCGTGCACACGCGGCCGCGGCGACGACGGAGGGGCCGCGTGCCGGTCGGACCGCGGCGCCGTGCCCGTGAAACTGTGCCGTGCATCGACCGGGGATAATCTCTTCCTAGTCGGCGTCGGACGGGCGCCCCAGCCGTGCGAGTCGTAGCCACTCGGTCCGGGTCGGGTATCCAGCGAAACCACGGCCGAGCGTACGGTTTCGTGCACACGCGGCCGCGGCGACGACGGAGGGGCCGCGTGCCGGTCGGACCGCGGCGCCGTGCCCGTGAAACTGTGCCGTGCATCGACCGGGGATAATCTCTTCCTAGTCGGCGTCGGACGGGCGCCCCAGCCGTGCGAGTCGTAGGCACCCGGGCCGGGTCGGGTATCTAGCGAAACCACAGCCGAGCGTACGGTTTCGTGCACACGCGGCCGCGGCGACGACGGAGGGGCCGCGTGCCGGTCGGACCGCGGCGCCGTGCCCGTGAAACTGTGCCGTGCATCGACCGGGGATAATCTCTTCCTAGTCGGCGTCGGACGGGCGCCCCAGCCGTGCGAGTCGTAGGCCACTCGGTCCGGGTCGGGTATCCAGCGAAACCACGGCCGAGCGTACGGTTTCGTGCACACGCGGCCGCGGCGACGACGGAGGGGCCGCGTGCCGGTCGGACCGCGGCGCCGTGCCCGTGAAACTGTGCCGTGCATCGACCGGGGATAATCTCTTCCTAGTCGGCGTCGGACGGGCGCCCCAGCCGTGCGAGTCGTAGGCACCCGGGCCGGGTCGGGTATCTAGCGAAACCACAGCCGAGCGTACGGTTTCGTGCACACGCGGCCGCGGCGACGACGGAGGGGCCGCGTGCCGGTCGGACCGCGGCGCCGTGCCCGTGAAACTGTGCCGTGCATCGACCGGGGATAATCTCTTCCT